ATAAGATATAAACATATAAGTAATGATGCAAAAACGTGGTAAAATACAGTAGACTTTTCTTGGGGCTTCACTTATTGCACCAATTCTTCCAAATTTCAGTCATCAACAGAAGCTCATACTTTCTGATCAGCAGTAATTAAACAGTATTAAAAAAGAATTAAGCATAAGACACTGTAACAATGATCTAAAAGGATAGCATTTACCCAGTAGCCTTTCCTATATACATAATGCCCAAGTTTTTCTTTTTTTGACCTCACCTAACACATGCAAAGAACAAAAGACAAATTTATTACAGACATACTATTCTTTAATCTCTAAACAGAGAGAAAATAACCTGCCAGCCTCACAATTTTTATGTCTGTCATTCCCAACTAATAAGGTTATTGCAGATACTGGAACATAGAAAGCAAGGGGAAGAAAAAAATATCAGAATATCAAAAAATACTTTTCTCATTTTTCAAAACAAAAACACTACTATTCCATTTTCATTGAGCTCCTATCCAGGTCCTCTGAATAAAAAGACAGTTTGCAAAACAGCCTACTTAGGTATCACTGAGTTTATTCTGCATATAACTGGAGAGAAAAATTACACATTTGCTAGGCTACTGTTGAATTTTCTCAAAGTATCCATTGAGTCAGAAAAAAAAATACTCCACTCTCTCTCCCTCACTTGCTCCAAACTACAAGGTACAGCCAATACCCCTCTCCTAAAAAGATATCAGGGATGTTGTTTTTGCTAGTAACCTGAGACAAAACAAAATAATTAGTGAAGAGCTGGTATAATATGCACTTCTACAGAACTTGCACTTTAATGCAGAAATACATGGATGCTGCAGCTGCTAGCTGCCAGGTTCACGCTCTTAGCTTCAACAGCACTAAACCTTGTTTCATATAAAATGTACCATGAACAAGCACAAGGTTTCTTACTTCTGTTAGGAAAGGGGGAGTTGAATGTGGTTTCTTCTTTCGAAGTTAAATCCTGTCTGTTGTTATATTCTTGATACTTGTAAGGGACAAAAGGTAAAGTAATACATCAGAAAGAACCAAAATTAATATAAGATTCCAAGGACATTTTTAAAAGTATTCAAGGATGTTCCTTTTAATTGCCTAAAGAGCTGTCACAGGAAGTGGGGAAAAAATACTTCAGAGAAACAGTAGCTAATGGTCTTTCAGCACAACTAAACAAGAATGTAACAGAATTAAAGTAGAGTTGCTGTGTCTATGAGAAACATCCAGATGCTGACAAACTTCGAAGACCTCAATTAGAACTTCACTGGTCTCAGCTGAAGATCACCACCTGTTTACATACCAATTATTGCAAGAAAGGGAATCCAAAGGGTCTCTCAACCCCAGGGAAGCCACCACACTGCTGTTTGCATCTTACGACACTCAGCCATCTGCTCTACAGCTTCCTTTGATCCAAGTAGGTTGCAGCCCTGGATTTTCTCTTGGTCTCCTGAGAACACCTCCCGGATACCAATTTTCTAATTTCTTCCCTGAAGTTCTCACTATTTATACTAGAACTTTTGCAACTCTGTTACGATCATTCCATGAACCACCTACAAATTACATTTTTAATATCCCATCCTTCCAAAGCAATACACTATGTCAGGCAACAGCACGTCTTCTGTTCAGCACCCTCACATCCTTGGGTTCACAGCTCACCAGAAACCACTCTCTCCCTGATGGAGACTTCTCTCAAATGGTTGTAGCTCTAGCACAGCATTGGCCCCACCTCACAGCACTCAGAAATATACCTAGCTGCTGCCTCTGGCACCTGTTACTTTAGAAAGGCCAATGTTTCTCCCCACCCTACAGACATTAATGCTGCATTGGGGAGATTCTTGCTTTCCCCTGTACCACAGATGAATCTGATCTATTGCCTGATAAAGCATAATCCTTAATTCTTCCCTGTTTTAACATCCTGTATTTATTTGTTGGTTTCTGCATCTCTCAGGATCATAAGCAGCTGTTCCACTTGGGGAGAAATTCTACTGCTTCTGGCTCCTTTCTGGGGAACAGAGTGGTTGTAGTGATATCCCTTGACTTTGGACACTGTATTGCCCCAGTGTGCATCCACACAAAAGGAAAATGTTAAGGCTTGAGCTGGTGGAATTCTTATTCATGCTCCTTACTGGCAGCATCAACTCCAGCAGCCAATCAACACAGCAGAACCCACTCACACGTTTGCCTTTAAAATCACTCTGGGTACCAGGAATATACTATATACTACTCTATGAAACGTAGTCTACATTCTTACTCAGCTCTATATTCAATTACCATTATTACATCACAGACAATACTAGAACAGGTTCAGACAAATACAGCAGTGATAGGTGAAGGATAAAAACTGCAGATAAACTGAATGCTGTAACAAGGGTAAGAACGCAGTCCTGATGGACAGTCTAATCGCAGATCTGCAGTCAGAGTAATTTTTGACCAGACAGCTTGACTGGGGGTATTTTATCACTTTAAAAATACACACAAAAAGTGTGTGCTTTGTTCTCCACAAAAATATTTCCTAACAAATACTCCTGTACTGGAGAAACAAGTAGATGGTATCTTAAACTAGAACTGGGGTTTTGGGGGGTTTGTGGCTTTTTTTTTTTGGTTGGTTGGTTATTGTTTTTTTGTTTTGGGTTTGTTTTGGGTTTTTTTTTTGTTTTATTTTGTTTTGTTTTTTTTTTTTTTTTTTCTCTAAAGAATCAGAAAATAAAGTGCAACCCCCTTCAATATGTGTTTAAAGAATCACAATAACTACAACCAAATTATTTTCTCCAAACATACCCAATACATAGCTTTGGGAGACGTGTTCAGGTAGAAAGTTTGAAGAGAAAGTAATGTTCATCACTTCAATGTGAAGTATGGAGGAGGGGGGAAAAAAAAAAAAAAGTCAACACTTCAAATTATGCCATTTCCTTTATTACTTAAATAAACTGCATCTTACCACCACCAGCACGAGGCACCACATCATGATCAACTCTATTCAAACATATTCAAGATTTGCAAGAAAATAGTTTTTCTTTTCACAGCAAAGTTGTCCACCCTAGTAGGTGAGACAACATAAATAAGAGTAAGGTCATTCTAATGAGCATAAAACCATGATACATTGTCAGTACTAATAATAGGGTATGTGATCTGGCTCTTTGCAGACTTTTTCTCTCGCCTAATACATGAAGTATTCAAGCATCAAGTTACTGAACTCCCAGATACCACCAAAAAGATTTGTTATTCATAGGGTCTGACAGGGCACTGCTTGAACATCTTCATATGAAAGGAAAAAGACGAAATAAGACACTGATGCACTCTCATCCTAAACTTACCAAACAAGTGGTTAGTAAACTACTAGTAAACTGGTGTAATTAGGCATCAGATAAAATAAATAAATAAATATCCCCTCTATATCTTTGAAGTTTTCAGTTGTGTCCCATGTGAGCCCTTCCAAGAAAACAAATAAACAAACAAACAAAAAAAAAAAAAACCAAACCAAAAAAGCAACAAACCAACTGATAACTTTGAGTTTCCCCCTACTTCCAGTAGGTCTTTCATTCACATGCATGTAAGAATGAGCACCTTTGAAATGAAAGACAGAGAACAGTAACTACATAGTAGTCTTCAAATTAATGCAATACAAGACAGAAGCACATCTCAACTGTGATTAGTGGTCAGCTTTTGTCACTCATTCTTTCTTAAATTACATGTTAAGTGACTGACAGCACAAGCAAATATCCAGTATCAACTGGCATATGAACTGATTTATTTACACTGCAGTCAGAAAAACAAACATGACTAACCCATCTATTCCAGCAACCTTTTCAGAAGTTATCGAGATCACTTTTGAAAAATCAATGCCACATCAGGTGTGCGTAGACCTGCACAGGGTTGGTCTCATTCACCCACCTCACTGAGTGCATTTCTAGTTACCTTCTATACATACAGCAATTTCAGTTTTTTCCTAGTCTTCCCATCACCCAGATTCAAGAAGTTTGTTTTATTTAAAAATGTCAGTTCTGCTACTACCTTATACATATCCCCCCCCCCCCCCCCCCCCCCAAAAAAAAAAATCTGCTTTTGAGGACGTCAGTAAAGTGCGTGCACGCAGACATCAGCTGTACATCTTAAGACAGCCCATCTACAAGTAGCAGCACCACAGAGAATTACTGAGGGGCCAAGCGCTGCCCTGCTGGGGGACAGCCAGAGCATTTGGGATCCCCGCCCTGCAGCACAGTGCATCCCGAGTCCCTGCTGTGCTCCCCGGCCCTCTCAGCACAGCTGCCCGGCCGGCAGCAGCAGCAAAACAACCGCAGTACTGTTCGCACAACTACAGAGCGGCTTCTTTACCTCCTTCCCTTTCCCTATCTGTTATTTCGCCTCTTCCATTTGGTGCCATGGGAAGAAATCGAGACCCTGTCCGTCACATATGGGAGAATGACATCTTCTGTCCGTCCCTGGTTAAAGTTAGACCCAACAACGCTCAAGAACAGAAAGGAAAAAAAAACCCCGACGTGCCAGTTCGTATATTTCTCCGATAAAGCAAACTTCTTGCCACTAACAAGCTTCTAACGGCAGGGAAAGCTGCTCACCGGGGCAGCGCTTCGCAGACGAGACCAGTTCCCGCAAGCTCCTCGGACCTCGAGCTAGCTCCCCACCGCGAGTTTATTACCGTTTAGTGCCCACGTCCCCCCGCAACGCCCGAGCCCGGCAAGCCGCAGAAACGCGTCGGGAACCCTCCACCCGCGTCAAGAGCCGAGCCGACCCCGCCGGGGCCAGGGCTGCCGCCGCCGAGCCCGGCGCCCTCCGGGGCAGCTGCCGGGACCCGCCCCCGACGCCCCCCCAGCCCGGCCGGGCCCGGGCCTTTCCCCCGAGCCCTCAACGCGAGGAGGTGCCCGTCCCGCTCCAGGGCCAGACGGTTCCCGGCGGAGGGGGGTGCCAGCGGGGACGCCCTGCGCGGCGGGCCCGGACCCCCACTCCGTGCCGCCCGGCGAGGGTCGGTACTTTACCGTCTCTCACAGTCAGGTCGGCGCCCTCCTCTCTCGGCTGCACCTCCAGCTGCAGGGCTTTCTGGGTGGGGCTGACGAGCTGCAGCCCCGCCGGCAGCTGCTCCTCGGCGAAGAGCAGCTCCACGTCGCACCGCAGCGGCTCCTCTGTGGGCAGAGGCAGAGCGGCCATCATCCCGCCGAGACAGCCCCCACCACAACCTTCCTCCTCCTCCGCGAACAGCGGCTACCACTCGGCTCCGGCGCTGCCGCTCCCGCCAGCCGGGGAAGGGCGACTGCGACGGGGCGGGAGGGAGGGAGGGAGGGAGGGAGGGCACCCTCGCTGAAGAAATTTGGCCAGCAGACCGATTCCATCCGCACCGCGCCCGCGCGCTTTATGCGGGGTGGGCGGGCAGCACCACCACCTGGCCGGGGCGCGGCCCCGCTGACGGGCAGGCGGGGACACCACTGCGACGGCGCGACAGAACGACAGAGCGACAGACGCCCCTCCCTCCCTCCCGCCCGCGGCCCTGACAGAGGTGGCGGGGGGGAGGCCGTGCGCGCGTGTCCGCGGGCAGCTCCCGCGTGGGCATCGGGGCTAGAACTGCGTAGCAGTGATTTGGGGAGAAGGCTCACTTAAACCCTAGATAATTTGGCTTTTCCCTTCCTGGTGTTCTCCCCGCCCGGGTCTATGTTGTGAGAGCATAAGGGTGTAACTGTGCTATTAAGCATCGGGTGTCGCTATTTTGCTATAAAAGTTTTCCCTGGCGGTTTCGGTTGGTTGGTTGATTTTTCTGTTGTAGGTGTTTGTGGTGTCCCGTCCCCGTCCGTCCCCACCTGCCCTGTCCTGGTAAAAGGAAAAAAAAAAAAAAAAAAAAAAACAAACCAAAACCCAACACAACCCTGCCAGTTACTTTTGTTTGTATGCCTCTGGGTCAAAGAGACACTGTGAAGGTAAATTAATGAGTATTTGAGAAGCACTCTGAGTTTAAAAGTACTGCATGACATTTAAACGGGCCTCAGCTCACTGAGTTTCCAGACTTTATTGTCATATGTATGTTAGTAATGTTCTCTGGACCCAAATGGTAACCTGGGCTATCCTGTCTAGCTGACTGGAAAGGAAGCGAATGTAGCCACTGACGTACTTAAGCCACAGAATGTACCAAAATGGTACACATATTACTGAAACTGTGTTTGCCCTAATGGCTGGGAAGGTTTGTCTGCAAAGACGACGCAAGTCTGTCACTGCAACAGCAGTTCTTTGCCTGGATTTAATTACTCCTCCTGAGGATGAAAATGGGGTATCCACTCTTGAATTCTATGAATGATGTTATTTACCCCTGTATGAAGGACGAATAAGGCAGTCTGCACATGCCATCAGGTGCTTGTGCACAGCTTACTGCACACAGTAAGTGCTTTGGCGTTCAGCTGGATTGCTTATACACAAAGCCAACTCCACAGCCACTTAGCTAACCTCTAGGCCAAAGAATGGGGATTTCTGGGCTCTCAGATTCATCATTGCAGTGAAGGGTTGAATAAATACAAGTAAGGTAAGACTGCATTTGTTGAGCCCAGAAGGAAATATCTACAGGTAGCTGAAACACAGGGCGAATGCCAGACTAAGAGTTGTAGAAGTCCAGTGGATAAGCGGGAAAGTGTTATGCAGATAGATTCTGCCCCTCCTAAATGTGAGAGCCTGATGACACACCAGTCAAAGTGGAGCAACAGGCAGGACATTTCTGTTGTTCACAAGGCTCTGAAAAAGAAGGTGGCAAGGGTAGTTTGGAGGCGTAAATTTCTTTCACATGTACAAGGAGACAGAAGAGTATCTTTTTTAGACCAGTATCTTCACTGGATGACTACCTCCCCGCAGTGGAAGTGTGCCACTGGACACCTAGTCCTCAGCAGCATTACTACTCCTCACACCCATAAGAGGTAATCAGTACCCCACGGAAGAGGCCTGTCCACTTCGGACAACAGTTATTGCTGCTTTTACCAACTCGGTTTCAACATGCAGCCTTGCTTCCTTTTTAGCTTCAGGCGCCACCACTAAACCATTGAACAGCTACATGTCTGTGGCTCCAGTACAGTAGTTTTGGGCTGAAACAGTCAATGCGATGCAGCAAGGTTCTTTCTTGAAATAACTATATGTGCTTTTTTTTTTTTTCTGGGGGTGGGGGTGGGGGTGGGCAATGAGGGGGAAGAGGTCTGAGGTAATTTCTGCTTTACAGCCCTTTGCCAAACATATACAGGGCAAATATATTTTCTGAAGGCATAAAGTAATTTTAATTATCAAGTCCAACAAGAGGACAATGTATCTGAAAAAAAAATAAAAGTTTGAGTGATAACAGCTACTGTGAGCTGCGACTACAGAAGACGGAATTTTGACTATTCCTTTAGCCTTTAACGGATATCTTGAATTATTATGTGAATCAATGAAGAAAAAATTTTCAACAGTCTATTTATGTTCTGATTTTGTACTTTCTGATCATTTTCCTATCTAGATTGCCATCAGTCTCTTCGAACTATAGTATTATTCAAGAACCTAAGGAAATAACTTCAAAGGTTATTGCTTAAACCATGTACTACTGTAACCCTCATATAGTGAATTACACCAAAATTTGACTGGAAACTCTATTCAAGATGTTGCTCACCTGAAAATGCTCTCCCATTGTGAATGCTTTATTGTGTAGAATGGCCCAGCTTTGTTTCAAAATTGATCCATGAGAGAAACAGGAAAACAGTTTTTAATCCAGTTTTGTCTTTCATTGCCTATCAGCAAAGGCAGCAATATCAGTAGGTATGAAATGAATGCTATGAACTAGTTCTTCACGAGGTATAAATGCTAAGTTTCCAGTATGTCTTCCTAAAGCAAGTATTTTATACTTAGAAAACTGAATCAAATTTAAGTCTAGTGGTGCACTAATATATTTATTAAATATTGTTGTTAAGCTGCTTCTTTGACATTGAAGGCTAGAACAGATCAACCAGCATTCGTTCCACAGGCATACTTGGTTCATTTGCCAGCTACATGAACTGCTAATTACAAAAAACACCACAGAATGTGACAAGTGCTGTAACATGGAACTAGGTTTGAATTCCAGTCTTTTCCAGTTGGACTGCTGTGTCTGCAGAGCCCCATTGGTTTTAAAGAGCAACTACAATTATGATCCAGCTTAGTGGGTTTAAAGGTATAGGATCTGGTGATGTTGAATGAGAAAAATTCTTTCTCTTCCAGACATCACAATAAGCCTTGTCTATAACGAATTAGCTATTTGTCCACCTTTTTTTTTTTTTTTTTTTTTTTAAATAAAAGTATACCCACACTCTCAGGAATTTTAAATCCATTAAATTCCCTCTACTAGGAAAATTATATATATAAAAAAAGCTTAGCTGTGTACATTATCCAGCCAATTTTGTCACATCCCACAAGGCATTTTTTGCCTACCTGTAATGCAGGTGGTGTAGTAGAAGCATGAATTTGATCTGGATTTGAAAGAATAAGTGAATGGAGGTAAAGTGTACAGATAGAAGGCTCATTCTCTCCAAAGAAACGAAAAACGGACCCTCTACCAGAAGTCCACAGGAAAGGAATGGTGTCTTTTATGTGGTGATGATTAGTCATATTTATGGATAAAACATTTTTGTATTTCACACAGTCAAAGTAACTTCAAGACTATTCAAAGTTTCCTTCCTGTGAAAAAAAAAAAATGCACCTTTGAAAGCTCTGAGGATAAGTATAGTTGCAAAAGCTAGTGTTGCATCTGCGAGCACAATAGTCACACGCTCTCAAAGTCCTTTCAGAGAAGTTTCCCTCGACCCCATAGCAAGGAGGCAGCTGCACCTAATAAATGCCAGAGAAAGCGCCAGGCAGCTCTGTCTCAGCTCTAACACAAGCAGCTTTTGCAGGCAACTCTTTAATGCAGAGATGAGATCCACGAGGCAGGTGGGAGCATTATACCAACAGTTGAGTAACATCAGAGCGACAGCTTTCCTACTTGCTATGTCATGCTATCAACATGAAACGACTTTGATGTCATGCTGGTCACTGGTGGATCTCAGGTAGAAGTCTTTCTTCTGTGACCCTGAAGCCAGTGAAAAGATCCACCAAGAGCCTGGGGAGCATGCCACGCTACTTTAGCTCCACGCCTTTACTTTGATGGTGCAAGGGGGTTTTCCAGGCTAGGGTTGTCCCATTTCCCTGCTGCGTTACTTACTGAAACTTCTGATTTTGGCTGTTTGGCTTTCTTGGGTGAAACTGGAGGAAGAAGGGGAGTCTAAACTTTTCTTAGGCATCAGAAATAGTTGAAAACCAGGGAAATAAAAGGCTGAAGTGATTGCTACTGTCCCAAGCAAAAGTCACCTAGTTGCTCACATGGGCCAGTAAAATTCAATGCCTGTGTTTCAACTACGTAATTCTTTGTGACCCTAACCTCAGTGAATGTGTTGTTATAGCAGCTTGTTCAGCTGCTCCTGCAGTCTTTCAATATTGGTGGAAGACAATACAAGCTCAAATTACAGCTTCTGCAAGGGACCAGTTCACAAACCCTTATTGTAAAGTGCATACTAAAGGGTATTCAGATATTCCTGTTCACAATAATACTCTCAGTAGCTCTCTTAACTGTCCTCTAACAACCCAAGTATTGTAAATATGCTTCTGCTAGTAACACTTCATGAAAGAGGATAAAGAATCTTAACACTTGTGCTTTCAGAAAGCTCTCAGGACTTTCTAACCTACAAATGTTTCCAGCAGCAAAGGTATTAGTACAGACCACTTCTGGAAGCAGTTTGAGCAAAGGAGGCTAAACCAGAAGTGTGCCAGGACACCATCTATTGGTGTGGCTCCATTGTGGGGAAAGGTAGGAAAGGTAACATCCAGCTGCAAAGAGAGAACAGCTTGAGGCAACATTTTCTTTATACTTCTTCCAGCTAAATCTCAAAAAGTATGTCTGGTTTATTAACTATTAGTTATTAAATAAGCACTGACCTAAAAAGTCTGCCCTAAACTCTGGTAATGAAAGTAGCAGCATATTATGTGTCCAGTGTGCCAGTGGAAAATGTCTATATGCAGTGTGATTCTTAATAGAAGAGTTCTGCTTATAAAATTGCTTAGAATAAACTCATCAGCAGTACACTGTGGTCAAGGAGAGGTTGTTTTGTTTTTTGAATAGAAAAGTCCAACTGGTTACATTAATTCAGGTATTGGGA